AGGCCTTGCTAAACTGCCTGAGGTAGCCCTGATTTTGAGATCTCTTACCTCAGCCTCCCAAATAGTTGGGAGTACAGACATGTGCCATTGTTTCCAGTTTGAAACTTTTTTTTTTTTTTTTTTTGCAGTACTGGGGATTGAACTCAGGACCCTGCGCTTGCCAGGCAAACACTTATTCTATTGAGCTATCTCCCCAGCCCTTAATGTGGCTGAAACTTTTTTAATGTTTACAAAATGGTTATGAGAACAGCAAAGGAACAAAAATTGCCCAAACTCCATTCAAGCTTTGACAAATGTCTCCATGGTGGATGTTGTTTATAGCACAGGATCAGTTAAGGATCATGTTGTCACCTAGTTCCCTTATCCCTAATACACACTTAATTTTAGTTTTTATTATTTTTCTTCATTTAGCTTTTTTTAAAAAAATGGATTTATTATTTTTTTAAATGTTTCCTTTATTTATTTTTTTCCTTTTTTTATGGTCAGCTCAGCCCACCCTGGGGGTGGGGCTGGCATGGCATGTGGTGCTGGGGATTGAACCAAGGTCCCTGCATGCTTGCCTAAGCTTGCCTAAGCAGGCGCTTTAGACCACTGAGCTATCTCGCCAACCCCTCTTCAGTTAGCTTTTATTGGTACATTTCAGATATGCATAATGGTCACATTTATCACAGAGAATTTGTACCTGCACATGATATAACTTGTCCCTCCCTCATCCCTCTACCTTCCCTTCAACCCTTCCTTCACACTTTATTTTTTTGTTGCAGAACTGGGGATTGAACTCAAGACCTTGTGCTTGCCAGGCAAGCCCTTATTCTATTGAGCTATTTCCCCAGCCCCCACACTTTATTTTTTTTTCTACACTTAATTTTAGAACTCAGGACCTTGTGCTTGCCAGGCAGGTGCTTATCCACTAAGCTATCTCCCTGACCCCCAAGATTTTTAATCTTCAGCATTCCATACTCTTGGTCTTTGAATGACTATAGAATATGAGGAGTCCTTTTATAGACTGGACCTTGGCGTGGGTTTGTCCAGTTTCCTCTTACAGTTAACTCAGGTTAATATTGAACTGGAGTCCAGGTGTCCTTTCAGTGTGCTGGGTGGGACCCTTGTCTGCTTGTTTGCACCCTGGTGTTGACTTGGAGCACTGGGTTCAGGTGGTGCGTTTCATGGTTGCCTTTTCAGCATGTACTTTGTGTGACAAACGATGGAATAACAAAATTTTTTTGTCTTCCCCTTTTTTTAGAATTAAGGAATTCTTTTTTTATTTTTTTCTGAGGCTGAAAATTTGGGGAATGTAAAGGTTGGTGCATAAATTTAAATCCAGTTATAGTTGCTTTAAGTTTTTAAATTTAGTGATTTTGTTTTTTATACATAATGAAATTGGAAAACTTTATTTATTTATTTATTTATTGGCGGAACTGGGGATTGAACTCATGCCCTTACACTTGCCAGGCAAGCGCTTATTCTACTGAACCATCCCTCTGGCCCCAGAAATTGGAAAACTTTAAAATGGGGTTAAATTTTACAGTGCAGTTTGGCTTTAAGAGGAATGTGGAGAGAGTATCCCTCACTTGGGTAGATCTGGATTTTCTTGAGAATTTTGGGGCTGGAGTGTGGCTCATTGTGTAATGCTTGCCTGCATGTGTGAGGCTCAGAGCACCTTCAGTTAAAAAAACAAAAAGACTGGCAACATGAATTGCCAAGAACACAGGACCTGGCCCCCCTGTAACTCAGGCATTGAATTGAGGACCTGGTGCTCAGTTCTAGGCCAGTGCCCTGCCACTGAGCTGTACCTCAGTCTTTCAGCTGTCCTTATAGTTTTGTAAATTGGGTCAGGCAGATGTCAGCCTATCGGGGTAAACAGCGGTAATTTCTTTGCTGTTATTGAAAAGACAAACTAATAGGGTTACATTTAAAATTTGTTTTTAAAAACCATACATTTTCAATGGAAGCTACAAAATTTCCATCTTTGTAAGGTTTACAAAAGATGTTTCTGTTAGTGCATATGTTCATTTAATTTTGTTAAAAGTTGGCTTTAGTGGCTTAAAAATGAATTGACAAGGTCCAGCCAGATGGCTCAGCAAACTATATCGCCTGCTTAGGCAAAGTACAGCAGCGGGGGTTGGATCCCCTGCGTGCTGTGCCGCCCTGCCCCGCCCCCAGGGCGCACTGAGACTGGCTTGAGACTGGCTGTGGTGTGTGCCCCTGTAATCCCAGTGCTTTGGGAGGCTGAAAACAGGAGAATCACTAGAGTCTGACCTACGTAATGAGACCCTGTAGACTCTGTAGACCCTGTCTTAAGTACATTAAAAAAAAATTGGCAAATTTAAGAGATTTAAAGTTTTAATTTAACGTCCTAAAAGTAAATGGACAGTTGATCTCTAAGAAAGAAGACAGGCCAGGGAGATGGCTCAGTGGAATAAGCGCTTCCCTGGCAAGTACAAGGGCCTGAGTTCAATCCTTGGTTCTGCCAAAAAAACCAAGAAAAACAAAACAAAAAAACCAAAACAAAACTGGAAGATAACAGGATACACAGGGAATGGTACTCAATCTCAGATACTGGCTTGAGGTAGAGTATCACAAGCCCAGGAAGGCACACTGTTGTTGTTGTTTTGCTTTTTTTTTTTTTTTTTTTGGCGGAACCAGGGATTGACCTCAGGCCCTTGTGCTTGCCAGGCAAGTGCTTGTTCTACTGAGCCATCTCCCTGGCCCTGTTTTGCATTTTTGAGAAGGTCTCATTATACAATTCAGGTTGGTCTTGAATTCACTGTGTAGCCCAGGGTAGTCTTGAACTCATAACTTCTTGACTCAGCTTCCTGAGTGCTGTGATTACAGGCACCACCACAGTGCAATACCCTGCCCAGATCAGGAAAGTTACAGTGAATCTTTGGGGTAGAGTTCAAAC